GACTAACAGAAACCTGGTGGGACCCTTCCCACAACTGGGAAGTGGGCATTGAGGGCTACAGGCTATACCGACAGGACAGACTGGGGAAAAAAGAGTGGGGGGGCGTTGCTGTATACGGCAGGGAACATTATACATCTTCTGTAATAAAAATGGGGACAGAAGAAGGACAGATCAAAGTCCTATGGGTCAGATTACAAGGGGGTAGGGGTGAAAGGGACTTGGTAGAGGGGGTCTACTACAGAACCCCACACCAGGAGGAGGAGGAGGAGTTAGACCTAGAGTTCTCGAAACAGCTCTCAAAGGCAGTACGCTCAAAGGACCTAGTTGTCATGGGTAACCTAAATTACCCAGACATCTGCTGGGAGGAGCAGTCGGCCAGGTCTGCCCATTCATGTAGGTTCCCAACCTGCATATAAGACATGCACCTAACACAGGAGGTATGCAGTCCCACTAGGGGAAATACCATACTTGACTTGGTGCTGGCTACAGGGGAGGACTTGGTAAGAGATCTACAGGTACAAGGTCACGTAGGGGATAGTGACCACCAGTTGATAGGATTCACTATCCAGCAAAAGGTGAGAAAAACACCTAGTAGGGCTGAAGTGCTAGACATCTGGACGGCCAACTTCAAGGCGCTCAGGGGGACTGAGGAGTAATCAAATCTGTGAGTTGGGAGTCCTAGAAGGGTGGGAGTTCCTCAAGGGACTGATCCTGCAGGCACAGAGGGGCACCATCCCAGTTCACACAAAGGGAGGCAAAAGACCCAAAAAACCTTCTTGGGTGAATAGGGAAATCCAGGAGAGCCTTCAAAGGAAAAAAGAGGCTTACAGGCTGTGGGAGCAGGGGGTGGCCACCAAGGAAGAGTACACCTGTTTGGCTCATGCTTGCAGGGAAGCAGTCAGGAAGGCCAAAGCAGATACTGAACTTAAGCTGGAAACAAAGATTAAGAGTAACAAAAAGTCCTTCTTTAAGTACAGTATGTAGGGAGCAAGAACGCGGCGCAGGGTAACATAAGGTCTCTACTGAATGGTCTAGGGCAACTCAGAACAGACAGGATGGATAAAGTAGAGCTTTTAAATGACTTCTTTGCATTTGTGTTCCTGGACATGGATAGAAACAGACCCCCCAATAAGAGAAATACCAATCCACTAGGTCAGCGCTAACCATAGGTGAAGGGGCACTTGGAGGGGTTGGACATATTTAAGCCAGCAGGCCCCGATGATCTTCACCCAAGGGTACTAAAAGAATTGGCCGGTGTTATAGCAAAACCACTGGCACACCTGTTTGAGTGTTCATGGTGCTCAGGACAGGTCCCAGAAGACTGGATAAGGGCCAGTGTGGTCCCTATTTTCAAGAAGAGGAGGAAGGAGGATCCGGGTAATCATAGGCTGGTTAGCCTTACACCTCTATTCTTGGCAAGACCTTAGAAAAAATCATAAAGGATTGCATTTTTGGGGGCCAGTGGGTAATGCAATGTTAAGGGGAAACCAGCATGGGTTTATAGCAGGCAGATCCTGCCTGACTAACTTGGTCTCTTTTTATGACCAAGTCACAAAGTGCTTAGCTGCAGGGGTGGAGATAGATGTTATTGACTTGGACTTTAAAAAGGCTTTCAACAGTGTTGCACTCAATTCTTACAAGCAAACTGGGTAGCTGTGATGTGGATTTTTTTTTTTACAGTAAGGTGGGTGAAAAACTGGCTTATAGGATGCACTCAGAGAGTGGTGGTGGATGGGATGGTTTCTCCCTGGAGACATCTGGGCAGTGGTGTCCCCCAGGGCTCTGTCCTTGGACCAGTGCTGTTCAATATCTTCATCAGTGATTTGGATGAGAGGGTTAAAAGCACTCTGTCCAAATTTGCAGATGACACCAGTGTGTTTACTGTACCCCATAGTTTGGAGGGCAGGGGGCAAATTCAGGTGGATTTGGACAGACTGGGGAAGTGGGCAGATCAGATTAGGATGCAATTTAACAAGGATAAGTGCAAGATGCTGCACCTAGGGAAAAAAAAATCTCTAATACACCTACAGACTGGGAAGTACTATTCTGAGTACCACAGCAGTGGAAAGGGATCTCGGAGTCTTAGTCAACACAAAAATGAACATGAGTTGCCAATGTAATGAGGTAATAAGTAAGGCTAACCGCACTCTTTCTTGCATTAGTAGGTGCATCACAAACAGGTCTAGGGAGGTGATACTTCTCCTCTATGCGGCATTGGTCAGGCCACAATTGGAGTACTGCATCCAGTTTTGGGCGCCACACTTCAAGAGGGATATAGATAACCTTGAGATGGTTCAGAGAAGGGGTACTCATATGGTTGAGGGCTTGCAGGTAAGATCCTATGAAGACAGACTGAGGTACCTGAATCTCTTCAGTCTCCACAAGAGAAGGCTGAGAGGTGATCTTCTGGCTGTCTACAAACTCATCACGGGAGGTCATCAGGGAATAAGGGGGCCCAGGGCGCCCCTCACGGTTACTAGAAATAATGGCCACAAACTAAAAGGAGAGTGGATTTAGATTGGGTAACAGGAAGAAATTCTTTACAGCGAGGGTTGCCAAAATATGAAATGTGCTTTCAAGGGAGGTGGTGCTTTCCCTTACCTTGGAGGTGTTCAAGAAGAGATTAGATAGGCACCTAGCTGGAGTTATTTAACCTCAGTGCTCTTTCCTGCCTAGAGCAGGGGGTCAGACTTGATGATCTACAAGATCCCTTCCAACCCTAGAAATCTATAAAATCTACACACATGCCTAATACCTTGTTCCAACACATGCTAATTAGAACACATGACAGCAGACTTGATTAATCAAGCACACTCTAGCATCCTCATGCTTCAAAAAAGTGGTCGGGGCACTTTAACTAAAGCTTGTCGAATGAGAGCCACTAATTAAAGTGCCACTTTAATTAGGGTGGCCATGAGCCACTCTAATTAAAGCTCCCCCACTCTTCCTACCATGGAGCTTTAGTGTAAAGTTGCCCCTACTTCCTAAAAGGACCTTGTTCAGTATGGCACTGAGTAACTTGGGATGATGATCCTAGTGGCAAGCACAAATACCATTAAGTAGTCTAGATCCAAGCAATCAGTATTTGGTTCATGGTTAACAAAAATGTGGACAGGAAGAGGATGGTTTGTTTGCTTTGAGGTCAAAAGCTGTGCACCAGAGCACCTGGATATCTTGCAGTGGGCATATACACTTGATCCCAGAGCCTGCACATACATATGCACAGGTATGTAGTATCCCTTACATGAGTAGAACCACTACAAGTAGTTCAGCCAGTATCACACATAGCTCCAGTGGGGCCTCTCTTGTGAAGAAAGTTTCCATTTCAAGGGCCCTGATCTCATTCCATAAATGAGGTCAGGGCCCTTCTGTTCTAAATGGTAGGGGATAATCTTATAGTGTTTGGGTTATACTATTCTATTCAACTATGGTCTAGAATAACAGTTGTCCAAAAACGATGCATGGCATCTTTTTGTTTACAATGAATAGAATACAGACAGTCCTTGGATTTATGACACAATTGGTTCCTGACAGCTGTGTTTTAAGTCAAAACGTCCTAATTCTGTTCCTATGGGAAAATCAGTTCCATGTTATAAATGGGGGATTGGTTCCTGAACCAAGGGCTGATACCCTATTTTCACCAACAATAACCCAGAATTTTGTACTCAGTCAATTATAGATGAGTAATATAGCTACATTAATGTATTTATATTGTAAATAACAATCATATTGATTTGGAATAACTTCTTTGAGGTGACTTTGCTGGACTTTTTGAAGGGCTTTTTGCATGGTAGATCAGTGCAGGGAGATGGGAAGTGCAGCAAACTTGTTCACTGGCATGGTGTCACATAAGATTGAGCATGGTAGTTGAAACCAATGTCAGAAAGTAGAAACAGGGTGTCAATTTATAAATGTCATAAGTGCCATTCATCATAACTCGAATGTCAAAGTCGAGGACTGCCTGTATCACACTTCAAAAAGTGATGATTTCAGAAGGCATAGCTCACATCTGAATATCAACCAACCTGCCAATAGACAATTCTTTGGAAGAGGAACTAAAATGGAAATTCAATACAGAGCACAGTATCTTTGTTGTTCTCCCAAAGAAAAGAAAGAGATGCATCTTAATCCACAATTCTCAAGTAACCTTGTTTTAAGTCATTTTAGAGTGTGTGTGTGTGTGTGTGGGGGGGGGGGTTGTGAACAATTACATAAACTGCATTGTGAGATCAGCAGTGTCAAAACTAAGGACAATCTCCTCCTATTCACACTGATGCTAGAACTAATTATTATGGTTTAGAGAAGATAAGAAAAACATACCATAATACTTAAGAGTTTTAGGGTAAAGTTATACATTGCATGTAGACCATCCTCAATCTGTGGAATGGTAATGGTATTAAAGTCAGAACAAGCTGTGAGCAGTTGCATATTGAGAGTCAGTACCATTTCTTGCCTGCAGAACTCCAACTTGCTATTAGAGGGCTGTAGGCCCTCTAGGAACCAAGACACCTGGGCTCTATCCCTGCTGGAGGACAGGAAGATACCCTAACACCGACTAGGTATCATGGCCCAGAGGTAGCACTCACCAAAAATGGTGGAACTTTGACAGACGGGCATTTAGCATGAGTTTTAAACATAGCATTTTAGACCTAAGGGTAATCTTCATTCCTGGATGCCATTTTTGTTTGGAATTGTTTTCTATCTAAAGTTACGCATAATTGCAAAAAAAAACCCAAACAAAACCAAATTACCAGGAAGCCGTTTAGAAAATTCATATACTCTATTCCTATTGCTGATCTTGAAACACACCATCAAGGAATACAGTCAGATTGTTTCTCTCTTGGTCACATAGCAAATCTACTCTAGCAACTGAAGCATCCCAGCAGTATAATAGTGCAGCTGATTTACCTCTCTCTCTTACAAATTCTATTAATAGTTTTGCAGCAAGTACATTTTCAAGTCTATTTTTATGCATAAAGTCTTTCTGTATATGCTGTTACCTTAAAGAAGTCATCTTGGGAGATTATACTGCAGTTTGGAAGCAGTTTCTCAAGCTTTTCTGCCAGTGTTGTTTTCCCCCCATTTGTTACACTGAGTTAAAGAACAGAATAAAGGCTATGTCAGGACAGGGAAAAAAAAAAAAAAAAA